TTTTTTTTATTTGAGAAGATGCTAGTGCTAGATATATATAAGGAAGATGATGAGGTATGTATTACCGTGTTTTATTTTTTAAAATAATAATTAGGTAGTGCACTACACAGTTTGAAGTCAAATAAAAATGAACAGTAGTAAGGTGTCTGGAGCATAGGCTTTGTTCGTGTGGGTTTTTTTTTTTCCTAGTATAAGTGCAACATATTATTTATTAATCAATCAAACAAATAAACAAGTTAGATCTGTAATGAGATTTGTAATGATGACTGGTAAGAATGAGGCAGTGGTAAGGTGAAGCAGAGACTTACTTTATGTCTTTCAAATCTGACAGGGGCTAGTAAAGTTGAGGGACTGTATTGACAAAGGTAATGTTGCAAGTAAAATGCCAAAGATTTTGTAGCTAAAAGTCGTAAAGTACAGTAGGAACGAAGTTTCACTCGTTCTTTTTTGCATTTTAAGATAACAAAGCTAGATCGACTGAAGGAAGGTGATGAAAATCAAGAAATTGACATAAGTGATTCGAAATGTAAACACATCGTAAACATATATCACCAAATAAAAATACAGTCTAATTAAGAAAGGAAGAAATACCTGTAAAATGAAGAAAATGGGACAAAATGACGAAAGAATCATAAAAGAAAATCAAATATCTATCCATGAAAATCAAGAAATTACTGGAATACTCTGCAAACAACAAGCTAGATGCCCATGGAGCATTATCACCAATAAACAGAAATTACTAAGTCACCTGAACATGAATTAAACATGGGGAAAAAATTAAGAAAACAATAAAAAGATGAATATTAATTAGCTAATATGAAACAAATGAAATCTGGAGTGCACGAGACAATTCCCCAAAGGAAATCAAACAGAGAGAACGTTCATCACTACAATAGTTATCTTGGTGGGCAGAAGGAACAAATGTATTGAGAAAATGGAAACAAATGAAATAATGAAGAGAGAGATTGAGGAAGAGAGCAGGCTTCATAGTGTTTAAAATGGAGGAAAATGAGAGATTAAGGTAGAGAGTATTGGTTGTTGTGTGTAGAGATGGGGGAAGAGTGCAGAAAAGGAGAAAGAGTGCAAAGAGAACTGGAGATGTTTGCATGCAATTAAAACAATTAAGGTTAACTACTATTGATCAAATAATAAAGAAAAATAAATACAAGCATGAGTTTCAGTCACGAAATAGAAATGTTATGATAAATTTAGTAATTGGAGGATTTAAAACTCACAATATGTACTTATGATTTCCCGGTTCGATGAAATGTTGCTATTAGCCTTTGTGTGATCTTAGAACACCTGAAATCAGAAACTACCATTATAAATAAGAGAACAAATAGTCAAACATTTAATATCAGCAGTT